CCCCAAAACCCCAAAACCCCAAAACCCCAAAACCCCAAGATTTTATAATTTTAAATTATACCTTAATGGGTAAGAACCCTCTGCTTCAAGCTGAGACTGTAAAGGCTAAATTTTATGAATCCTAAGATCTCTATTCGTATTAAAATGTGTTCTGGATTTCCTCATTCTAAAAAAATCAGAAGACTGATTAATTAGAACTCTTGGGCTCAGAAAGAAACTTTGCTGTTTTGGCTCTATTTGTTCTTAAGTCACCAAATCTTCTGTGAAACATCTCTTTTGGATAATGGAATAATCTAATTTTCTGTAGAACCTGCTCCCGAAACTCTTCGCAAAGATTACATACCAAAGGAAGAAAGGAAAAGTGGTAAATCTAGCCAAAATCTTTAGAGGCTTACAGTGATTCTGTTGATTCGCATAATGATGTGCTAGTGGTAGACCCTCAGTAAGTGCTTCATTTCATTGCATTTTGAATCAGCTTTTGTTGAGAAAAGAAGGTCTATGTTATTTGAAAATTTTAAATCCTTGGCAAAGCAAATCAAAATATAATTAGAAGAAAATTTCTGAATAAGATAATCCCAGCCCAACTTTCCTTATAAAATCTCAGCCCTCAGGCTAAGCCCACCACTTATTCCTTTCCAAGTGTGAATAGTGATTCCTAGGAAATATTTGAGAAATAGCTTAAAGATGTATAGGGAGCTTATGAAGGAGGAATCCATCAGTTCAGAGACAGAAGGTGAGTCTTCAGGGTTATGTTTGTAGAAGCTGAATCGTGTAGACCGGGTAGTGAGGTCGCAAACATGTCAAAGAAACTTGATGCACAAGGTAATAGAGGGATAAGAATCCATGCAAATTAGCAAAAATTTTGATAGAGGGTTTATTATTGATTCACATGAGATTTTTGAAGAGGAAAAGGAAATACAAAACTTTTTGCTTAGATATCCGGTTTTATCTCCCAGTGCTAGATTAAGCATCCTGCGAACTTTCCTTGTTTATTATCATATAACTATTCAGCCATATTTAATTTGCTTTGAGATTTGACAATTCTTTTCTAGAAGAAATTAAAGACTGGGATAAAGACGGTGAGAGCTTTGCAAGTAGCCAAGAATGTGACAGTAAGTTCATGAATCTCTAAGCTTCATCTATAATGTAATCTTTTAGCGTATCAAAACATAATTGAGGAGCTTGATGACCTGAATCTTGGTAACTCCAGCTTAATAATCTTAGATTCTGAAGAATATTCAGTTTTCGCTCAGAGAAATCATGGTATAAGCTGAATAACCTGTAGAGTGGGTTACTGTTGAAGAGGGAGAATTCAATGATATGGCAAGATTTGAACAAGTTAGAATAGCTAATGCCCCAAAGTCCCTTCTGGAATATTTTAGTGGCGATGAACTTGGCCATGAAAATATCTTGGAAAGATACTTTTCCCAATTTGATTTTTATGAGCATATTCATGGCTTCCAAGTCAAAACTGATAGAGCTACTTGGATCCAATCCAGGAAGATCATTGGTAAGAATTCTTGGAGACTTTAGTCCTATACTTCGCAAGAACAGGTGCTGAAATTACAAATCATAAGCAATGGGCACTTGATGGTAATGCTTGTTTATAAAATTTAAGAATTAAACAACCGTGTAATCAGAGACAAGAATAATATATACAAGATGATTTCGACAGATAATGAAGAGCTCTCTGAATTCAAGCCAAGAGGTATATCTTAGCATAGCTGTTTAGGAAGGAATAATAACTTAAGGGGATGTGATTTCATACTCTGTCAGATTAATAAACCACTAAAGTTTTGGGTGATAAAACTAGTAAAGCCCAAGGATAAGTAATTCTTACTCTGATTCTGTAGAAACAGCTCCACAAATTATATATCTTTTGATCCAGATTACTTAACTGAACTCCTGGATAAAAGAACTCTCGAGTGTATTCAAGCAGGTACCATTCCTAAGGTATTTTGAGGCTATAATAATTAGAGACGTTCGATCACTAGCATTATGCAATGCTATCAGTATGGTCTTTCTAAGACAACATAGATTTGAGATCACCAAAGGAATAAGAAGGTCAAGGCTCCTGGACATCATAATTCACTCTAATTATCTCAAGTATCTATCTTATTAATCCTTTAGCAAGGACGCATTCAACTATATTGTCAGGACATTTGCAAGGTAGGGCTCCATTTATCTTTAGAGACTACAAGATCAAGCTTGAGAAGGGAAGCAGCTATACTGCAGGAAAGAAATTCAGGAAGGGAATGAAGTGTTTCTGCCAGTACATTTCATAAAGAAATCAGTTCATTTTCAATCTGAAATCTTTAAAATGGGGTTTTGGGGTTTTGGGGTTTTGGGG